TCTTGCAGTCGGGTAGGAACTATGAAATAGAGGAAACATTTGGTGGAAATATTTGACTTCCAATCATTGGTACACCAACAATAAAGGGTACATGACTTTGATTTCAGCCTCCCCATTCGCGCTCATGCCTCGGCAACGGGACGACCACGACATTCTCCACGCCCGCACCGCGCGGCGGACCCATCCATCGTCAGCAAGGCCCGCATTTCACGAACAGCGTCTCGCCGAATATGTCGCCGTCGATCGCATACACAGCAGGCACCTTGCTGCATGCGCGACAGAGGTCGAGGAGTGGCGGTGTGATGTGAGTTGTGAGCGGATATGCCGAGGGCGGCGGATCGGAAGCATGCAGGAGTCTGCATATCAAATGTAGGTCAGCGTGTCTTATTGATATATGAACCCTGATGATGAAAACGAAGAACCTGATTTGATCGATCAGAAAGTAGTGTTCGCAGTTGCCGAAGTGCAACATCCAGTAGGACTTGTGCAGTTGCAGCGACAACGATGCGAATGTCGTTTCACGAATAGATGCGCCCTTCCGAAACGAGACGCCATCACCTGGTTCCTCTATCCGCCTGAGGAGCAGTGGAAGTAGTTTGCTGGAAAATCATGCGAGACGAAGTTAGTTGGTTAAACTTGAACGGTGCATACAAACAAGCTGACTCGGAATAATCGTCTGTACTATTTCTGTCGCCGTAGACGGTTCCATTGATGCATATTGCGCACCCCGGACTTGTTTCTCGCGCGGCTGCGGCACTCTCCGTGGGAAGCTTGTATCGAGTGCGCTCCGTCGGTGTATCCGGCAGTTCTCTGGGAAGTTCGTTTGATGTGCATGGGATCACGTCAGATAGTTCAACGAGGATCTGGGAGGAGAGGAGAACATGCTGTGATGAACGAAAAAGCTGTCGGCGTCGCCCCGAGAGCTTGTTCAGAATCATGATGAAAATCAGCGCCTGGTGCGTGGTTGAAGTCGTGGAGCCAACGCAGAATTGTTTCTACGATATGGCGAGATTCTGTGAATTAGACATTGTACGGCATGCGATATGACCACGAACTGCGCAATTCACCGTGTTGCAGTCTGAGGGCTTCGGCGGTCGAATCAACGACGCAGCGTGCAGCGTCAACCTGCAGGTTGCCTCCTTGTACCTTCGTTTCACCTGCAGACGATGGGTGTCGGGTGTAAATATAGTGATCTTGAGGGAGTGTTAGGTTGGGAGTAAATTGCCAGATATGTG